CACACACACACACACACACACACACACACACACACACACACACACACACACACACACACACACACACACACACACACACACACACACACACACACACACACACACACACACACACACACACACACACACACACACACGCACGCACACACACACACACACACACACACACACACACACACACACATATATATATATATAATTTATTTATTTATATTAACAAAAAAAATATTCCATTAAATGAAAATGATACAATAAAAAACCATCACTAGGTCACATCAGTAAAATTACAATCAAAGAGAAGCAGTAGCAAAACAAATTGAAAATAGGAAGGGGAACATCAGAGACTATCGGACTCAGATCGACATCGAGTTATCAGGGTGGGACCATCCGTGGAGGAAAACAAAATCCAAAACGAGAATCAGCCAAATCATCAAAACGAGCCACCCAAGTTGCCAACCAACTCTGGCCATCCACGGCGCATGCAGCAGAACGGCTTCCTCATCGTTCATTCCGAATCGAACCAACAAAGCAACCAAAGTAACGAAGAACAGAAAAAACCCAACACAAGAAGGAAATCATTTCTTCTCGGATTTTCGTTTACGTTGCGAAACAAACTTATCGAGCGAGCCCGTTTCGAGAATGGTGTCATCCTCCCCACTAGAAACCGACATGTTATCCTGCAACCAATTGCATTGTCATCTAACCGAATCTCTACTAAGATGTGCAAACAAATTAGCATTTGAGATAACCGAAATAGGCACCTCCACACCTACCTCTCCAACAATAGCCAAAGTTTCTTCACCATTATCAACTGAATAGGCAGACTTTCCAATAGCCAAAACCCCATCATCCACGTAACTAGGACTATCATTAATATTCACACAATAATTAATATCAAACACAACAACAGTGGCAGGAGCCACATTAGGGGAAACAACCCCATCCACTCCACCATACACCACCAATTCACCATCAACTTCAGGACAATCAACAGGGGCATAGGCAGTAGGGGAATAGGCAGCAGGTGAAAGAACAGGAGAAGATCGAACCAACCCGACATTAATAGAGGAATCCAACACAGTAACCAATTCAACCAAACCAACAGGAGACCCTCCTAAAGAAGGCAAAACAGAAGAAACAGTAACAGGAGAAACATGACAATTAGAAGGTGCAGGTAAACCGTGTACAGCAGAATCAACATCAACAATACCATCCGGAGCCACAAGGACAGACGGAACCACCACAGGGCCAGGGAGCATAGAAGCAACAACTCCACCCTCCTCCATCGTATTATTAACAACAAGAGAAGATGGAGGCAAGGAAGAGGAGTCAAGATGAGGGTGTAGAATCCTACAACCAGCCTTCAAATGCCCCAAAGAGAAACATTGCGCACAATACTCAGGAAAATCTTCCAAAACCACAGATTGAACATAACCAATGTTATCCGGGCCAATCCAAATTTTATCAAGGTAATGATTGGTCACATCCAGTTCAACCAAAATGCAAGCAACATACGGACGTGAACCAGTGGAGGTCGCATTTATCAATTTTTAAGGGTTTACCAAAGACAGAACCTTTTAAGGTGTTATATGGTAGGGACCCCCCACATCTGGTACACTATAGCCATAAAAGTACTCCTGTATCGGCAGTGGATCAGCATTTGAAGGAAAGAGATCAGGTGTTGGAAGAGCTCAAGAGGCATTTACTCAGAGCCCAACAGATTATGAAGCGGGGCAAACAAATGAGGCCGAAGATTAGGGAAAGAAATTCAGATGGGTATAACTGGCGATTCAATCTCAATATTCAAAGTAGGAGACCATTTTATCAATTTCATATAACAATTACTCACAAAAATAAGACCTATAAGTAAAGACCCTACAGTAATCCAAATCGTTAAAGAGCTTAATCAACACGTTCTGTTGGTTAAGAATAGTGACAGAAACATCGCCATTGAGCTTGAGATTGAAAAAGAAATTCCTAATAGCATCAAGAGATGGCATTCAGCCAGAAAATTTTCCAACCAGAGCAAATTCAAAAGGAGCGACAAGAGACTGGATTTCTGCCTCCAAAATCCACAAAGCAGACATACCCCTATATGAAGATACCTTAAGTTCGGGAAAGGCAATGGAAGAAGCCGACACACTAGAAAGAGCATCCTTAAACGAAAGAGAAGAGAATCCAACCAAAAAACCAGGATCCACAAAATTGGGAGGCGCCATCAAACCAAAAGGACGCAAACGAAGGTGAAAACAGCAGAAAAACAAGGATAAGTAACTTCCCTGAGGCACACGAGGAGAAGCGCCTAACACGGGAGGCGGAGAAGAGGCCGCAAGGGGGCAGCTAGGGCGAAGCCCTAGCACACCCCAGAGATTGGGAGAGAAACATCGGGGCCTATGTGTAGTTAATCTATATCATATATCATATGTGATGTGTCACCACAACTTCTCACACATTTAACATTTGATGCAATGTGTTTAAATCCGCCTTTGCATTAATGGCTATTGTAAACGTTTAAGGCATCATTTTTGACAAAATTTTTATTGCTTTTTAAAACAACTTTCTTATAAAAAATTTCTAGTTCAAATAAAAGCATAAGAAAATCGTCCCAAATGAAACCTAAGTATTGGTAGTAATATAAATATTGCCTATTACATTGAGAAATCACCAAGACATCTTTTATTATTTGAATTCAAGTGTCATCATTAAAAGCTGCAATGACATCTTTATGTAGCTAATTGCTCAATAAAGATAAGGTTTCTTCTTAATCCAGGGATATACCTACTCTTAATTTAGCTTAAGTGTTCTCAATTGTTGTCTTGATTGTAACATCTCAAATACCCATAATATTTAGCTCTTGGGCAATGTTGAGAGTAAGTCCAAAGTATGAATCTCATCATCAAATTGGATATTGATAGAGTTCAATTAGCTAGTGAATAAAGAACTCTTTGATGTGATTAGTCATTGAAGCTACTTTTGACATCTTGAGATTGAACAACTTGCGCATTATGTATATTATATTTACTATGAAGGGTTTTTTTTAATACATATTAGAGAGCACATTTGTAACACCTATTATTTTCAACTCGTTAAGGATGTTGAAGGAGACATTCATACTAACGGATTAATGAATGAAGTCTAGAACTTGTTTATCCATTAACTTCCACTCTTTCTGATTGACTAATAGTGATTTATTCCATTCCTTCAGATAGTCTTCTATATGTATCTTCTAGAACTCGAAGTTTTGGCCATTGAACATAAATTTTGAGATTCTCATCTTCCATGCTCGAATTTGAAAGTTTCTTAAATCAGATATCTAATACAAATGATAGAATTTCAAGAAAATACAAAATGAGAATGAGAGACTAACCACACCAAAGATCTCAAGGAAAATACTTTAAAATTTGAAGCTCGATTAGATTCACCTACATCTTTGATCACATAAAAATCAAATATTCACTAACCTTCAAAAGAGATAAATTGATATATATTAGATTGCATATGAATAAAGAAAATAATAGTACTTTATCGATGTTCTTGACTGAAATTGATGAGGGCTGAACATGAGAGTAAATTGTTGATGATACTTCTATTTCTCTTTTGTACTATGAGAAGTTCTTCCTTTATCTTCTCCCATTCTCTTTATTTGCTTGTAGTTGTGTAATATTTTCCTAGCAAAGTTCATATGGGCTTATTTAATGAAAAGTTTACTTTTTATTATTAAGAAACAACTACTATTAAAGACTTTTGTAGCCTCTATTGTAAATTTTTATGATAACCTCCATTGTAGGCTTTATGATAGTCTCCATTTAAAATTCTATTGTAGCATCCATTAAAAGCTTTATAATAGCCTCCAATTTATACTTCAAAGTTTAACAATTATAAATTAAGGCCTTATTATTTAAGATAATGAAAATTTGAGATTCCCCCTCTCTTCCTCTCTCAAAAGTAGCTAGTTAAAACTATCCACTCTCCCTTATAAGATTGAATTACACTGCAACAAATTTGTAAGGAAAATGAACTACCAAATAATTTTGATTCACTTCAGAATCTTTATATTGAGTCGAACAATAAAAACAAAATAAACAAAAGCATCAAAACAATTCACATCAAATTTTAATTTATATTTTTCATGAGACATTCAAGCACAATTATTTATATTTTTGAATTAGATATTACTTTTATAAATATCTAAGTTTAGATAGCATATGCATAATTTTTCTAATATATAATTGAAGCAATTCGGAGTTCAAAAGATATCTATGAGCAAGTTCAAAGGTGCAATTGGGGAAAAATTTAATTTTGGGTAACACAATTGAAATGGAAGCTGGTGCAAGTATTAGGGGTGGAGCAAAAATTATAGGAGTATTATTTGGTTGAGCAAATTTGTTATGATGATAGGGAAATCTATTCTCTTGAAAGAAAACATGCTTAATAAGGTAAGAATTTTGCGTGCCGATAGATTTAGGCATTTGCAACCTTTAGGGAGCAGATTTGAGAACAAATTTATTTGTTGGTTAGGGATGTAATTATGGATAGCATAGATAACCCAAATTTTTTGAGGAGGGTGCATCATCGTAATTGTTTGTAGAACAGTTGATATGGAGATAAATTCTGAGTGGTGGGAGAAGGCAACTAGTTAATGAGGTAAATTGTCGTGAGCAATGCTTCTACCCAAATAATGTGTGGTAGATTAGCATCAAACATTAAGTGTGAATAGTTTCTATAATGTGATAGTGTTTGCATTAAGAGAGACCATTTTATTCCGAAGTGTATGAGAAACTATTTTGATGGATGACAACATTTGCAAGAAGTTGTAGGGATGTGTGGTTGGTATACTCAACACCACCATCTAATCCAATTATTTAGGGTTTAGTATTATTATTGAAAAAATGGGTTTAGCATTAAGTTGTTGTGTAGCAAGATGTTTAAATTGGAAAAATTTAAAGGTGGTTTTCGATTTTATGCACATTGGATAACCTAGAAAAAAAAAATAATAATAACAAAAATGCATAGTACTTGTATTTTGTATTTTATATAATTCAGGAGACATCAGAGTGAATAATTCCTTAAGAAGAAGAACTTTGAGTGCAAGAATATGTAAATAGTATCCAATGACTTTTAGCTTGAGCACAAGAAGAATAATACTACAACTTATAAGAGGAGCAAATAGCGGAATGATTTTTGGCCAGCAGAGATTGTGTGGAGGATGAAGGGTGACTCTACCTATGATTTTAAAGGTTGGGGATTGAATTTGTGTAAGAAGACTAGTTGGATGCGATGGATTTGGAGATGTGAAGGCATCGTTAATTGGATAGAGTTCATGATGGTTGGGATCATGGAGGTGAGTTTGGTGGCACTTCCGATCTTTTATGGTAAAATTCAAAGCATAAAAAAATTATTTCTCGAGTAATCGGTAGTGAGTTTTTTTACAAAGAAGTTATGAGAAAAATTGGGAACGTAAAAGAGTTGAGATAATAGGAACTTAAGGTTGGTGTGGGAAGAATACCTTGCCTAATTTGAGTAATCGGAGAAGTTTGACTATTACCAATGGCCACATGTTGAGGACTTTTGTAGCCTAAGGAAACTAAATTTGTGATGAATCAATGAGTAAATCAGATGAAGTTTCGGAGCCCAAATAACAGTTGGATTTAGAATAAAAAGTATTTGTGAATGGAGCTAGAGTATTGGCCTGGTTGACATGATAATATGATATAATTGCACGAAGCGAACATTCAAAAGCAGTATGCCCAAATTTTCAGCATATTTGACAAATGATGATAACACAATCACGCGAGTTGATGTCTGTGAAGTTCAGCCTGCTCAATGATTATTAAAGGGATGACATCCTCTACTAGTGTTGGCAAGGAAAGAGACCCCATCTACCCCTTCTATGAACAACATTCAAAACAAGTTGGGTATCAAATGTGGCTGTAATAGCTAAATGTCTAGTAGTTTCAAAAGCAATATTCAACTATTCATTGCAAATAAGCGAGTAACGATCATCAAGATTCAATGGCTGTAAATTAGTGCGAATGACAATCTTAAATGTCTGATAAGTGGTAGGAAGACCATTGAGAGTGTAAAGGATGACATACATCTTCTGTGTTGAGTGCTAGACTAACAATTACTATTGCAATCTTTGCTTTGATATTTGAGATACATTGGGTCATAGTGCAATTCTTATTTGAATGTGATAAAACTCATTTTTGAGATGAAGAATGCAAGAACAGTTGCTGGATGGAACCAGTCTTTCTATAGTAGTCTATATTTCAAATCAAGATTATAGAAGAACATAGAGTAATAAAATGATATTGTCAAATTGAAAGCTTTAACAATATTTGGTCACAGAGCATATATCTGTGAAGGGGGTTAGGAGAGATGCTTCCATTATCATTGATAATTTGTTTAGCTAGTTTGGTACTAGAATCGTCAAGATAGCCATCAAATACGTTGGCCTTGAATGGTTTCAGGATTTGTCACCTTCAAGTTGGATGATTATGAGTATTGAGAACGATTTTGAAATTAGAAAAAAGAAATCAGTTGAGGCAAATAAGTGATTAAACCCATTTTAAGAATGGACTGACTAGCGTTGGTGGGGCTTTGAACATAAGAGGGGTCAGAGGGATGCATGAGAGCAAATAAAAAATTTAAAGGGTTGTTGTTGGGCTTACTACTGTGAATCATGTTGACAATATAGTGTCATAATTGCATACAATTAGCATTGAATACAAAGAAAGAGTAAGAATCCTTGAATTTATTCATGAAACTAGACTCAAGTATTAATTCCTTGTTTAAGTGATTTAAACTCATTGAGTAAGTGGCCGATCCTAATAAAAAATAGGTAAATATTTTTTTAATAATATTTCCATTTCATCTTATGTCACTATAGATTCTAACCACAAGCATGCCCTTTATAAGTATTCACCTACCCAACAAATCTTTGCTTGACAAATAAGTTTTAGTTTTTTAAATTATGCTTGTCCCTCTCTTAACATCATTTACCAATAAATTAAAGAAATTATCCATAAATTATCCAATTAGAGAAATTAGCTTTAGAATATGTCCTTTCATCATAAGTAGAAACATTACCCTAGTTATGTCATCATCGATAGCACATCTAGGGTTGTTGTCAATAAATATATATAGGGTTGTTGTCAATGCTTATCATACTTTTCATTGATGAAATCCCTATAATGACTCATGATATTATTGTTAATGATTTCTTCATTTAGGCTAGATTCATTATTTAATTCATGTAAGGGTAGTTGGCTAGTTTCTAATGTTTCAAGTCACTCATTAATTAATTACCAGAAAAAGTTACTCATTAATTTGATTTATGATAGTACTTAGTTAGTCTAGATATGTTAAGAACTCTTCCAATTGTTCTTGCAAAATATTTAGAACACCATCCTACTGGTGATTTGTTAATGTATTTTGATAATTGACTCTAAATCTAAATTACGATATAATACTAATTAAATGTATGTTGAGCGAGGGCCTAGAATTTCTAAAGCAAATTATGATAAGATGGAAGATAAAAAAAAACAAATAAAACCACAATCAACAAGTTACTATTTCATAATTTTTACAGAAACTTTGTCCATCAAATATAAGGATAAGAACATGCTCTATTCTTTCCAAAAAATAATTTAACATGCCAAAATCTAAAATTTTGCACACAAAAAAGTAATCAAAATAAAATTCCAGCAACAAATTAAATTCAAACTTAAAAAAGAAAACCCAAAATTTAATTTGCTTGTTAAAATTTCAATAATCATGCAAAATCATTGACTAAATAATTCAAGAGACAATAATAAGAATATAAATCACCAAAAGAGAAGAACTAGACCTCATGTCAGTATAAGACATTTCACGATTTGATATTCCTATTTGCAACTTTCAAATGACCAACAAAAAAAAATTACAATATCTATAAAAATAAACTCAAAGAAGAACAAGTTTGAAACAGTCAGCATGAATTCCTCAGAAATTTCCCCATAAAATTCAATTAAAAAATTACTGAAGAAATCAGGAATCGACCAGTACATATAAGTCAGAATAGGATGGCTATTACCTTAAACATGAGGCCATAATGTGCGAAACAGTAGTAGAAATGGCAGGAATCGACATAATAACTTAGTCAGGGATGGAACTGCAACAGAGGTGGCGAGCAGATAAGAGGGATGCAGTCAGCAGTAGAAAAAGGAATCAACAGCTGCGGCAAGAACAAGAACAAACAGCCAAAAAGGCAGCAAGTAGCAGCAGCAAAGACCGGAAGTGATTGAGCGCTGCATCGGGCAATCCAATTGAAAAAAAAACAGCGGAAAACAGTGGCCCGCAGGACAGCATCGACATAGTGACTGAATAAAGAGCTTAAATTGTGTAATCCTCAACACATACGTATACCAAGATTAAGAAAGCAGAATCATACTAATTAAAAAAAATTACTGAAGGAAAAAAAAATTAGCAGGAATACTAAAATTAGTCCAATAAACTCTGCAACTAGAATTCGTTTAGAAAACATAGCAGTGATGGGAATGTAGAATATACCTGAAATTTTAGCTGAGAAAGCACCGATTTCCTAAAAGAAACAACGAAGTACGAGTAAGTAAATAAAATTGAGACGATAGGTAACCTTAAATCAGTTCATATGGGCTAAGCTGAGCGATGAAGATGATCCTGCATCGTTCTTTCCGAGTTCGGACTTGGCGTCAATTGCTCATAGGCAGCTTAACCTTCGATCAAATCAAAGAATCCCGAGGCTTAGAAAACATCACTGGTGAGTCGGAAGTTCGCGATCTCTTGTGTTCCGAACCACCAAAAGCTTAACATCACAACGCAGCTTAGATGTTTGTGGAAATGCCAAGGAGAGCGGGAAGAATACGGACGCAGTACTCGGCCAAGAGCGTGAAAAGCCAGAAATAAAATGTCCCACAATAATGCCCAGTGTGATCAATCAGAGATAAAAATAACAGCACTAAATAAATATTTGATTTAAAGTATGGAATAATTATCAATTTCTTAAAAATATTAGTGCATGAAAAGTATTATAAATGCAAGATTTTAAAACTATTGATATTTGATTTGATGCAGAAGAAATGTAAAGTAAAAAAATAATGAATTTTACACTTGCTTTATTTGTCATTTATGATATATTCAAAGCTCAATCGGTTTGGTTGGTTATGAAAACACCACAAATTGTTGTCACTACGACCACCCATAGCTACGCTGTTGGCCACCGTTGCCTCTCGATTTTTGTCGCCCACCACCAACCACTGCCACTCACTATTACTTATCAACATCACTGTTGCTCACTACCAGCATCACTAACCACTAGTGCATGCTAGATTTTATATTCATTTTTTTACTTCTAAGTAAAATAAAAAATAAAAAAATCTCTTGTATTTAGGTTTTATTTGGGACGGTTTTCTTTCCGCTTCTTAAAGTAGCTTTTTAGTACAAATATTTTAATTTTTGTACTAAAATTGCTTTAAAAAGCTACAAAAAACCGTCCCAAAAGAAGCCTTATTGTGCACCCAATCACCCAACTTTAATATTTATAATACACTACTCAATAAACTTCATTTTTTTCACAATGCATTTTTTTTCAGCAAATCAAACAACCTCGTAAACGATACTAACATAGCGAAAATCTTATCAACAACTCCTAATCTAGCAAACAAATAATAAATCAAATTACATCATAATCACATTTTTTTCTTGCCAAACAAACTAAAATTTCTAAAAAAAAAAAATGGCATATCTTGAGCATTAAAAGCTTCCTATAAAGGGGGGATGTCCATGCATATCTACTTAATGCTACTATTGGTGTTCCAACAAGTAAATTTCTCATATGGGCAGTTTCATTTTCCTTTCTCCATTATTAAACACTTAAATAAAGGATATATACCGATATGAAATTAATGAAATTTATACAAATATTTGTTTCTAGATGATTTATGAGTCACAAAAGACAAAAGAATGAGACAAATTAAATTACCAGTTAGATTAATTGTTCGCCATTATTTGCAGGCTGGCTGCATGCGAGTGATATCCACCCTTTCCCAAAAGAAATAGTTGATTGATTCCTTTCCATTGATCCATCAATCTCAAATACATTGATCGGGTACGAGGTACAGCAAGCTCAGGCACCATTAGAACATGACAAAATTTTAGCAGAAAAAAACATCAAAAATTTTGACCACCCAAATCAATTCTTGCTATATTGTATGTATTTAATGCCTTCAATGTTAGATATATATTACCAAATTGTATTAAAATTCGCATGATATCATGCATTAATCACGTATTGAGAAGGCTACGTGATTGTTATTGTATAGTGAGCGAATCGGTGAGTGACAGCGAAATCGAACGCGTATATTGAATTTTACGGTTAGATTTTTGACTAAGGCTTCGTTTGGGACGGCTTTCTCACTGATTCTTAAAGCAGCTTTCTAGTACAAAAATTTTGCTTTAAGAAGCAGTAAAAAAACTGCCTCAAACGAAGCCTAAGTTGTTAATCAATTGCAGATTATTTTGAATAAATCATTATGTTGTTAGTTCCTTCCATTCATTTTTTTTTTCTTTTCGTCAATTCACTGATCCTCACAATGAGTTCGTGCTCCTCATCATTGCCACTATAATCAACCTCCTTTCCCTATATCAACTTATCTTGACAAATGTTGACTATCTTTATCGACCACAAATGGCAAATTTCTGGTGGTAATATGTTCCAATTTCTTACGAAATAGCTTAAAAATATGCTAAGCAACATGCTAGATATTGATTTAGGCTTTGTTTGGGATTGGTTAAGCAACTTGCTAGATTATAGAATTCTAATTTTTATGTATGTATATGTAGAGTAGCCATAAGAAGAAGATGGCCCAAGGCACTTAAGAGTGTTCATGATTTCATGTTTTATTTTTTATTTTTTCATGAAAATGAGGGATGGGACCCAATCCAAAGGCTTGTGTATAAAAATAATAAATAATTAAATCCCTTTCATGATTAGGTGGGATGATTTTGTCGGTAGAATAGAAGATGAAAGCAACTCTAACTTGCCTTTTTCTATCGGCCGAACCCACATGAGTAGTATTATTTGGGCCTAGCTACCCAATTAAGCTCCACCTACTCACACAGCCTACATCACAAGCACATTAGGGGCTGAGATCTTTATAATAATTTTGTTTTTTTTATGAGATTTTTATATTTGTCATCACTCTGATTTGTAAAATGTTTTTTTTAATATTATTAAATATTATGCATTGAGATAAAATCAGTAAGGGTCTTCGAGTATCCTACTGAATTCCTAAACCCTAAACATAATAAATCAGCGATCATGCAAATTTATTCATTAATGCGAAGAACATTCATCATTTTGTTTAAACTTATTTGATTGCTTAAATAAATGAAAATAAATAAAATATTTTATATGAATGAGTATCAAATTACTCATCAAATACACTTATTTGATTATAATCCTACCACTCGCTACTTTCAAGAAAATTTTATGCTAAAAATTGTTTAAGAAAACAGTAAGAAAATTGTTTCAAATGAAGACTTAGTTGAATTGTATTACCTAATTTATGTAATATATATAATTAAAATGTTAGTAGCAGGTGAAGGGGAAGCCAGAAAGTAGTTAATATGCCTATAGGTAGCCATCTTGATTGAAACCTTTTGATTCAATTTTGGCGAAATAAGAGGCCTAAATTTCACCTACATTGCCATATAAGCTAGATTTGTATCAAAAGTTAGGTTTAGCCCAATAAAAGCTTGATTTATTAATAAGACCCTGCTCAGCTACATAACATAAAACTTTAATTATTAATAAGATCACTATTATTTACTTTAATTATTAATAAGATTTCAATTAATTGTATTTATTTAGAGTTATTAGTATTTTGAATTTCATTTTTATTAATGAATATATTGGGACCAGAGAGGAAACTGTTGGAGTTTATTTTTTCTTTTTGGAGAATGAAAATTCTCCTTCTAATTATAATTTTTCTTATATTATTTTGTGTGATTATCAAATTTATGATAATATTATTGATTGTGATTTAAGAAATAAAATTTATCATTCAAAACTCTTATTTATTTTCATGCATGATAAAATGATAGTACTTTAAATGATTTATTTTTTAATTTATTTTTCATGCATGATGCTTTAATAATTAATCAAATATATAAAATAATCAAACATGGATTATAGGTGCAGTTGCTTGATATAGGCTGAACATGTGTTTTAAACAAATTAATATAAAATAATTAAAAGAAATAAGAAAAAACAATGCATGGAGATGTTCAATATAAGTGCATTGAATAATAGGTTTTAACTTTAAATTATATTACATAAATAATACATGTTATGCTATTTATTCTTTTTATTTAAAAATATATTGATGTTGCGGACTATGAAAATGTTATATTTGGATATCATTTGTCATCTGATTTATGATTTAATCCTTTCAAATGTGTTTTGGTCCCTTGATTTTGTCCCATTTGAGCTTGGATTGGACTGATTTTCATGCCATTGAGTTAGTCTTCTTGAGATATTTGTTTTGATTATAAGTTTGCTGAAATTGGAGTTTGAATGGTCTCAAATTTAATGTTGGAAGTTTCCAACTTGAATATGCTTCACTATAGGAAAATCACTAATTTCCGGCGGCGTTCCGGCTGCCACTTTTTCGGCACCAGCGCGGTAATTTGCCGCCGGAAAAAAACGCAGGTATTTTATTTTCCTGCGTCATTTTGACCGCCGGAAAATCGTCGGAAAATTACAACCGCCGGAAAAGGCTCAATTTTCGCCGAAAAAGGCCGTCGGAAATGGATGATTTTCCTGTAGTGCTTCAAGATTCGAGCTCGATCAAGATAATATTTTTGGTAACATATCAATTACTTAAATAATGATATATCATCAACAAATTATCTTGATTGGACAGAGGCAAAAATCAATTGAAAACTTCAAAAATTAAATTTGGGATCATCTGAACTCTGATTTCAGCAAACTTACAGTGGAAATGATTGTCTCAAAAATACGAACCCAACGACACCAAATTCGACTCAATCCGAGCCCAAACAGTTCCAAATCAAGGACTCGATCTCGAAACACTGTTGAAAAGCTCAAACCACAATTTAAGTTACCAAACAGTTTTTAAACATGACATGCTTGTAATCGAATCGAGCGTCTCGACGAAAAGAATCCA